GTCCTCCTCCGCCACCTCCGCCGCCTCCTCTGCCTCCTCCGCCTCCTCAGCCTCCTCAGCCTCCTCAGCCTCCTCCGGTTCCTCAGCCTCCTCAGCCTCCTCAGCCTCCTCAGCCTCCTCCGCTTCCTCAGCCTCCTCAGCCTCCTCAGCCTCCTCCGCTTCCTCAGCCTCCTCAGCCTCCTCCGCCTCCTCAGCCTCCTCAGCCGCCTCCGCCTCCTCCTCAGCCTCCTCAGCCTCCTCAGCCGCCTCAGCCGCCTCCGCCTCCTCCTCAGCCTCCTCAGCCTCCTCAGCCTCCTCAGCCTCCTCATCCTCCTCCGCTTCCCACCTCCTCCGCCTCCTCCGCCTCCTCCGCCTCCTCCGCCTCCTCCGCCTCCTCCTCCGCCTCCTCCGCTTCCTCAGCCTCCTCAGCCTCCTTGTCAGCCTCCTCAGCCTCACCCATATCCTCATCCACAACCTGGGTGTCGCGGTCCTGCTGGTGCTGGTGCTGCATCCATTGACCCTGCTGCCTGCCTGCCGCTGCCCCTCCAGTGTCAGCAGCACCACCGCCACCGTGTTGTTTCTGCCTCTCCATGGCCCGCCAGCGCCCGAGCTGCCCAACAGCCTTCTGTGCCACGATGCTGTCACGACCCTTTATGTAGTGGCGGCGCCAGACAGCAACAGAATTTCCCATGACGAGTGCATCCCCTGCGAGGGCTTCCTCCTCCTGGTCTGCCACATTGTCCACCAGGTCTTTGAACCTCACAGTGGCATGGAGGTGCCTAAACTTCATGGGGCAGAATACTGTCGGCCAGGGTGCACCATACTTCCTTTGAATAAGCTTCCATTCGTCCGTGAATGGGGCGTCGACACCTGCAACCGGCCTGCCCTTCCTGTCAAGGAACAGGAAGGGAGGCTCCTTGCTGGCATCGTCAATGCTGGGATTCATGTTGAGGAGCGCTGGCCGGGCATACTCTGTGTAAGTCCGGATGTGCTGGGAGAGCGTCGAAGGGAGCACAATTCTCAGGGCCTCATCCTTCTTAAAGCGCTCCGTCTTGTGATGGATGGTCTCCATCACAAGACGACGGCCCCTGCTGCTGCTGCTCCTGCTGCTGCTGCTGCTAGCGCCATGGCTGCCATCCGCCCCTGCCCCTGCCCTTGCTACAGGAATCACCTCGACCAGGTTGTTGCCGCGGCAGTCCATCTGGAAGCAGTCTTGCTGCTTGCAGGTCTGCATGCCTGGCACCATCAAGGTGCTCAACACGGACAAGCGGACAGGCGGAATGTAGACACCAGATATCATCTCCGCCAGCAGCGCATGCATGAGCAGGACAGCGGTGCTGTAAGTGACGGGCCCATCAGGCCCAGCAGCAGCAAGGTCTTTCTCCAGCATCGCCTGTGCCTTATCCCACAGCGCACGCACAAAAGATAGTACCTCGCTTTTGCTAGGCAGACCATCATCATCAGGCGGGGAAGCGGTTGTTGGTGGTGCTGCAGCTGCTGGCTTCTTCTTGGTGGCTGCTGTCTTGGTGGCAGCTGGG